AGATGGTCAAAATGGTACCAGGAAAAGTCCAGGTAGCCAGGAGCAGGAAAAGAACGTGGCAAAGTTTCATCTCCTTGATGGAACCATTCTGAGAATTTTCAGACATGAATTAGGCCAGGGGCCCCGGGGGGCCATGGTTAAGGCAGCAGGCTGCTAACTGAAAGGTCCGCAGGGGGAACCCACCGGCCACTCATACGCAAGGAGACAAGTGTAGCTGTCTGCACCGTGAAGATGGGCAGCCATCCCACTCAGTTCTACAGGCTCACTCTATGTCAGCCATCTCACTCAGTTCTACAGGCTCACTCAACAGCAGGGGGTTTGCTTGGGGCAGTGGCGGTTCTGGGGCTGTGTTAGTCTGGGTACATTAGAGAAACAAATCTACAGAAACTCATGCATAAGAGAGTTTTCTATGAAGGGTAACCGCACATCAAGAAAACAGCCCAACCCAGTGCTTCCCAAGCCTGCAAGTCCAACATTAACCCATATGTCTGACACCAATCCACAAAGTCCTCCTCCATCTCACAAAACACATGCAATGACGCCGACTGCAGGAGGAAAGCCGAGTCAGTGAGCATGTTAAGCATCCTAGAGCTGGCAGGGGTCTCCACACGGCTGCTCCAGCACCCGGGGCTGCATCAGGGTAGGTCCATGTGGCTTCTCCTTGGGGATGTCTTGCAGGAAGTGACCCTTGTGAGCTGAAGCAGGGAACTGGCTAAGGCAGCTGCACGCTGGTCTGACCATCAGAAAGCAAGAGACCTGAGAACTCGAAAGGGGAGGCTCATTGAGCCATTTAGCCCCATGCCCTTTAATTAATCCCACATGTGCTTATCAGCCAGGTTGGCACAATCAACCTTAACTAACTCAGGGGCAGATCCAGGTTCGACTCCTAGTCAACACACGGCTGTCAGTGGCTATCACCTGCTGCTATGAGGCTGAGCAGGTGTCAGTGAGGCATCCAGACTAAGAAACAGGAAGAAAAGGCCTGGTGATCTACTTCCAAAGATCAACCAGTGAAAACCCTGTGGGTCACCACTGGTCACAGGGATGGGCAGTCTGCGCAGCACTCTGTTCTGCTGTGCACGGGGGCCACAAGTTGGGGCCCAGCCTGATGTCACATGGCAGCAGATGGCAGCCACCCCGAGGTTGACGGTGTGAATGGAGAATGTCAGGACATGGCTTTATGTGTGGCATTTCTTCCACTTTTGAGTTGAAATGAAGGTTCAACTTCGTATTTTGTCACCTAAACTTTTAAAAACTTTGTGTTAGAAAAAGACGAGAAGAACATTATCGGGAGGAGGGAGCATTAGAACTGATAGTGATGATGTATATTCAACTCCTTTTAAAAACTATGGAAGTGTATGATATGTGAATATTATATCAAGAAAACTACTGGGGGGAAAAGAAGAAAACAAACCTGACCTACGGTTACCATGGGTGAAGGAGGAAGAGTTTTTGCTTAGGGGACACTGAGCTCATTTTAATGGTGGCGGAACAATTTGGAAGGGGATATCAATAAAGGTCGTACAACACAAGGAGTATAATCAAGGGCAGCGAATTACACACGTAGACGCTGTTGCATGGGAGAACGCTTTGTCGTGTATATTTTTGCCACAATTGAAAAAAATAAAAACATGAAAAACAAGAGTGCAAGAAGGAAGACAATGTTTGAAAACTGACGGTGGTGATAGCTGTACAACTGCTCTTGATGTGATTGGACTCTTGAATTGCATGACGTGGATAAAACTGCTAAAAAAAAGAACATCATCAAAGAATTAACAGTGGTGGCAGTTATTTAATAATAACAGAAGCCCATTCTTTTCTACGCTAACGTATCTTTCAGATAGTCTCCTGGAAATATTACTTAGGCCTGGAAGGGTGGCCCCGATGCCGCAGAAGAAGGAAGGGCAGGCGTGTGCACGGGGAAATAAGGTGGACTTCGGGGGCAGGCACTGGGCGGGGCTGAGCTTTAGGGACCAGGCCTCCAGGGGGGGCCCTGAGCTCGTGACCAGCCCAGGCCTCGTTCTCTAGGTCCAGGAGAGAAAAAATAACTATAGGAAAGAAACAAGTAATTAAAATGGCAGCAATGTGGCAGTTACACCAGAACAAAACCATCAACCCAAGCACCAGTAGCAGTCAATTCTGCAACTTAAGAAAGCGCCCCAAAAGAGCAGCAGAGTGAAACCATGACAAACTCGAGACAGCACCAGTGATGCCTGCAAACAAAGTGGCAGGCATTCCCAACCATCTGCCCAGCAGGAACCCGCTGGCTGCCAAGCGCCAGGGAAGCCTGGCCCAGCCTCCACATCCAGCCTCTCTGCAGGACACTCCGGGCTGCTCATCTGATTTTACGACTTTCAGATGTAGGGACCAGCAGCAACTCCCTCCTCAAGAGGTGGACCTCCGACCCCTGTAAAAACAAAGCCTGAGAACAGTGTTTGGGTCTGCCTATGGTGGTCTCAACAAGCCCCCGCCCACCCCAAGAGAGCCCGTCAGAGGGCTGAGGAGCCTGCATGGAGAGAGACCGCTGTTCTCATCTGTCAACTGCATGGACAGCAAAGCCCTGGCCAAAGCCTTTGCTCTGCAGGCATTGCCCTCCTGAGCCACGCCAGCTGCCAGCCCTGCCAGGGGTCGGCAAGGAGCCAGGGCAGCATTTCTCTTCTCGCTGTGCCCAGAGCTGGAGGGAGTGCGTCCCGGAGGCCCTCCGCGGGCTCCTGCTGTCCGCTAAAGGACCCTGTAGCACCACACTGACCTCAGGGCCCAGCATGCCTGTGGGACCACAACAAGAGTCAGGCCCCAAAGACCAACTGCCATCAACGTGATGCAGACTGGTGGTGACCCATGTCTGTCCAAGCAGAACAGTGTCCCACTCGGTTTTTCAGGGTCAGATCACCAGGCTTGTTTGCAAGCCACCTCTGGGTGGGCTCAAACTGCCAAGATTTCGGGTGGCAGCTACGTGTAATGGCCCTTTGCACTGCCCAGGGGCTCCAGTCCGGCCCTGAAGGTGTACCCTGCAGAGTTATTTCAAAGGTGCTTAGCCACTGAACCCTGAAGATTCAAGAGCAGGAGCCACAACCAAACGGGGTACATCAAGCACATCCAGATGCACTGCTAGGGGTGGGAGCAGGAAAGAAAGGCAAGCTCAGCGTCAAATCCCTCCTACCCGCCTCCCCAGAACGACAGAAGCTCTCAGAGGGGCTCCTGCACCCTGGACTCCTCAGAGTGCAAGCTGGAACCCCCTGCTGGGGTGGCCTCTACCTTGAACAGGCGGAAGACTGAGTCTGAGACCCAGGAAGGGGTTGAGTTGAAGGCACCCGGGCAGGAGTGGCAGAGCTGGGGCCATCACCTACACTTGGCTCCCCTTAGAACCCAGGAAGGCAGGAGTCACCCCAACCCATCTCAGTGGCTCACAGAAGCTCTGCTGGACCCGCCTAGAGAGGTCCGACGGGCCACCCGAGGCTACAGAAGTAACTACTATGTGGAGAAGGAGGCCTCCAAGCTGGACAGACCTGGGTCCAGATCCCAGCTCTGCTACCCTGGACAAGACCCCGGCTCAGGCAGTTCTTACCTGGGACCTCATGAAGCGGCTGAAAGCCCTGGGTGAGGGGACAGGGCGGGGCCACGTTCACTATGAAGAATCTTAAAGGATACTCCTTCTCCCTACACCCTTTGGGTGAGCTTGTCTCCCCTCTCCTTCGGACCCCAGCTCAGCAAGAGCCCCAGAACCCCTGCCTTCCAGCTGAGGCCTCCAGGGTGCAGGGACCAGCCTTCTGGAGACAGCGTCCCAGCCAAAATGAGCAGTCCTGGTTTCCCTGTGATCGCTCCAACTTCCTGGAAATTCGTTCAACATTCAACTCCGGGTTTACCCAAAGCCCGCCCCAAACCAAGCCCACTGCCATCAAGGTGAGTCGTCTCATCATGACCCTATAGAAGGTTTCTCAGATAGCGTATCATGACAGAAGAAGACACCTTCAGCTTTCTCCTGAGGAGTGGGTGGTGGGTGGATCTGAACCAGCGACCTTGCAGTTAGTAGTCCAAAGGCTAACAAAGCCCCCTCTGACAGTGGTGGCTCCTGACGACTTCTCTTTTCCTTCGGGTCTGCCGAGCTGGGGACGCCCCCTCTACCGAATGGCCTGGATGTCTCCTGGGTGACCGGGTCCTGCCTTTCCAGGGAGTGCTGGACACAGAGCCAGCCCGGCTCAGCCAGCTGCTCCCCAGACCCCGGATCGCCTCTCCTTGCCCACAAGCTCACTGTGGCACAGAACCCCGGAACCAACAAGGGCCATTCGGAAAAGAACTGAGAAAGGTGGGATGCTCATGAAGGGACCCCACCACAGAATCGCCTGGCCCCAAGATGGCCAGGCCTGCCGGTCCCCAGCAGTCCTGCACGAGCCACAGGCTGGGAAGTCACATCTCTCCTTCCCCAGAACCACCCAGACCCAGCACATCCTCTCAATTGTACACCAGCTTCAAAAACCAGTCCTAGAAACCAACTCAGCGACTCGGTCCAGCTGCTGCCCCACAGGGTGCACAAGACTCCTACCTTCACAGGAGCAGGCGGCCTCGTCTGCCTCCTGGGGGGTGGTTGCTAGGTTTGAACTGCCGATCGTTTGGTTAGCAGCCTACTTCCTTCACGACTGAGAGACACACACCCCAACTCACACCGACAGTGCCTGTTTTAACATTTGCTAAGCGCAGGTTGAAACGAGAAAGAATGAGATCGCAGATTCAGATGGAGGATCACCTGGTCCCGTGTGCCATTTTAAAGATGAGTAAACTGAGGCCCCAGGGGCAGGGCTCCTACTACTATACACCCTTGGGAATGGGCCCAGTGTGACGTAGCCCAGGCCCTGCCCTGGGTCCTGCAGCAGGAAGTACCATTCCACAAAGGGCTTGGCTGGCTCCCGCTGCCTCCCCTCCTGCGTCACTGGCACGCCTCCCTCTGGCCCCAGACAGTGGCAGGGCCGGGGCCAGAAAAGAGTGTGACGTTGAACAGCGGGTACCTTTGGGCATGATCTGGTGCATGGCAACGGAGAGGAAGAAGATGGAGTCGCTGTAGTAGGTCCCTGAGCCAGCACTGAAGTGTTTCTGCATGGCCGCCACAACGGGGAAGAGCTTGTCCGTCAGCACAGCGACGTCATGGAAGATGACCTGCAGCCAGACGGGAGGAACGGAGAGAGTCACGCACTGAGCAGACCAGCTCTCACCTGGAGCTCTGGACCCCTCCCAGGCCCCCGGGCCCACGGAAGGAGCCAGGCAGGAGCTCCCAAGGTGCACAAGCAGGGGGGAGGGCAGTGTTCCGAGGGTTAAGCAAATGGGCAGTGAGGAGTCCAGGTGGAGGCAGGATCAAGGCTGGCTACGAGGGCAGGGACACCCTGTGCGGGAGGGACTGTGCAGGCACGTGTGTGGGAGGGCCAGCCATGGAGCTGTCCCCACACTGCATTCTGCTCCTGACCCTCCAGTGGAGCCCTCCTGAAGGTAACTTTGTGTCCAGTACCTGGAAACCACTGCATTGCCCATGCTGAAATTCAGGATCCTGCTGCCCAGCGGGGTGACTGACACTGCCTGGGGATGGCCACCCACCAGACCCTCAGGTCCCACAGGCAGGACACACACCCGACCCTACTACCCCTTCCCAGACTGTGTACAGTGAGAGGAGCTGGCCACCAGAAAACAGCCCAGCAAGGCTTAAACTCAACTGTTAGCATCTCAGGGAGGTGCCGTGGGAGCGCTCGGCTACACCAGGCACTAAGACTGTCCTCAGAGCACTCAGAGATGGCCACCGTGCACCTCATGAATCTCGCACGTAAAGGCAGGCACTTCTAATCTGTGGGGAAATTGAGGGGAAAGATAATGGGATTTTCCCACAAACCAAGCATCGTGATATTCCCTGAAACTTCAGCAAGGCGGACATTACTGCCGTCGCCTCCGAATCACAAATGAGCAAGCAGCCACTCAGAGAGTATGCGCTGGCACAAAGCCACCTGGCTAATGGGGAGCAGAGCCAGAACCTGAACCCTGGCCTCTGGGTGCCAAGCCCATGTTCTTTCCACGGGAAACACCCTCATTCCTTATAGCAACGACAAAGGAGGAAAACTCAGAACAGACTGGAGAGCAGAATTGACAGGAGTGCTAATGGGACCCAAATTTGCTGGCGTTCCTTGTCAGACATTTATCCTGGAAGACACTAAACCCAGCACACGTGCAGCCCCAGTCTAAACCATACCAAATTACTTCTGTTCACATGTATCTTGCGAGTTCTCTGCCCTGCACCCTTCCCCGCCGCCCCCCTGCCACACCGCCCACACCCACACCCAGAGTCTAGGACGCTCTGCTATGCACGAGAGGCATTCAATGTGTGGTCTACACCAGAAGCCCATATGATCTTCCTTCTCCATCAGTCTTCATAGGAGATTTGCTGACAGTCCTCTTTCATCCTCCTTCTTTCAGATCTTCTAGTAAATGCCCAAGGGGGCATGTCACTCCGCTGTAAGGCTCAATCTGAAGGCATTCTGCCTCAGGAGCCATGGGTCATGCCCAGAGGGACCCTACACCACAAGCCAGGCTCCAGCACAGAAGCACGCAGCTTTTGTTGCTCTGTGGGCTGGGAAGCCCGTCACTCTGCTCCATGCGCTGGCTCCTCTCCTGTCACACCTGTCTTCTGGATCCAGGAGGTTCACTGTGCAGGGATCTCGGGTCCAGAAGATGAGCCCCACTCTGGCTCTTAGCTCGCAGTGAGATTGCCTCCCCTACCCCACTGCCATGCCCCCACTTCTCGGAAGGCTCATTTTATACACAGCAGGATGGCATTGTGGGGATTCCTGGTCACACTCACCTGTGAAGCCTATCAGTCTTTTCCCCCACCTTCAGTTCTGCTTTGGGCCAGAAAGTCCTTTTCCCCCTTAACTTACATGTTTGCTTTTTTCCCTTGTTGTTTCCCGATGCCATCCAGGCAGCTCTGGCTCCCAGCGGTCCTATGCACAACAGAAGGGAACCCTGCCCAGTCCTGTGCCAGCCTCATGATCACCCCATGGGTGAGCCTTCACTGTGTCGATCCATTCTCATTAAAGCAGCGGTTTTCAACCTGTGGGTGGCAACCCCTTTGGGTGGGGGGGTGTCAAACAACCCTTTCACAGAGGTTGCCCAACTCATAACAGTAGCAAAACTACAGTGATGAAGTAGCAATGAAAATAATGTTATGGTTGGGGGGTCACCACAACATGAGGAAGTGTGTGAAAGGGCCGCGGCATGAGGAAGGTTGAGAACCACTGCATCAAGGATTCTCATTTCGCTGGCCCGCTGCTTATCAGGATGTGCTTCTCCGGGGACTGGTCCCTCCTAATGACACACCCAAAGTCTCGCCACCCTTGCTTCTAAGCGGCACTTCCAAGACAGCTGTGCTCGTTCGCCTGGCCTGCAGCCCCAGTCCTTCCGATGTTCTTTGCCAACACCATAATTTAAAGGCATCGATTCTTCTGCGGTGTTTTGTTCATTGTCCAGGTTTTGCTGTATGTGAGCTGATGAAAAATGCCATAGCTTAGCCCGGGTGACCTTAGTCTTCAAAAGACATCTTTGCTTTCGAACACCTTTTGAAAGAGAGCTCTCGCAGATCTGCCCTGTGTGATACATCATCTGATTTCCACGCTGCTACTTCCAGACATGGACTGTGAATGCAAGCAAAGTGAAATCCGTGGCCCCTGCGGTCTTGTCTCTGTTTTCCCCGGTGTTGTGGGGATGTCGGTTCTCTGTCTGTCGAAATGTTGGCCATAGGACAGCAGAGTGTGGTCCTCAATCTTCATCAGCAAGGGCTTCAAGTCTTCCTCGATCTCAGCAAACAAGGTTGTGTCACCTGCATGTCACAGGTTGTTGATAAGCCTTCCTCTAATCCTGACGTCAGGTTCTTCTTTATACAGTCCAGCTTCCTGATGCACCTGGCAGGTTTCCCTACCTCTTGCCTGCATGCTCAGCAGACAGACTGAAAGAATGTGGTGAAAGCATACGACCCTGATGCACACACCTTTCCTGGTTTTCACTATGTCACACACCCCTTCTCTGTTTGAAGGATTGTGTCTTGGTTTATGCATGAGCACAATTATGTGTTCTGGAATTCCCATGTGGTCCACAATTTGCTATACCCACACAGTCCTACGCCACTGTACGGTCAATGAAACACAGGTAAACATCTTTCTGGTAGCTCCTGCTCACACACACACACCCCCGCCCCCCGCACCCCCATCAGCCTAATTAAATTTCTAAGCTTTCATTTTCATCATTCCTTAATTTGTTCTATAGAACTCTTTATGTCTGCTATAACTCTTTTTTTTTTTTTAAATAAAAAAAGCCCAGACCAGTTCCAGACTCATGGTGACCTCATCTGTTTCCGAGTAGAACTGTGGTGGGGTTTTCAGTGGGCTGTGACCGTTCAGTGGTTCGTCACCAGGCCTTCCCTCCAGACCCCCAACCTTCCAGTTAGTACACAAGCACCGACCTGTTTGCGTGACCTGAGGCTGCCTAGCTCCTCATAAAAAACTCTTTAAAAGGTCACTGACAATTTCTTCAAATGTACCTCTTCCTTATCCTTCTCATCACTGCTTTTCCCCCCTTTGATCTTTTGTTTTCCTTTGTGCGTGTGCCCTCTCAGCCCACAATGAAGAATTCAGACCAGCTACTTTCTTCTATTAAATTGGCATTCTATGATGCTCACCTTCCTGACACAACCGCTGAAGACAAAGCGGG